GTCTTTATTTTACAGTTAAAATATATGTTTATTAAATAAAGTCTAATGTTTCAACTAATCATGGATCCCTTTAAATATCCTTTCAGTGACCGATCAATAGCTGAAATAGAGGTCGACTGAGATGAGTTTTTCTTCAGCTGGTGCCGTATAGGCGTCTAAAACGGTCGAGGGCGCATATCTGTTTGGTTTATTTCTCAAGATRTTGTCAGTAAAAGAAGAAAAAAAAACACAGTTGTCCAGTGTGCTCCGATACGCCTTTAAGTATATCACCGGACCCCCACTTCATCAGTCCATATGGCTGCAACACGGCTGAGCTACGAAGTGCTGAAAACAATCCGGCCATAAATTAGTCAGATTTATCTGTATCCTCCTCCTGTACATCATGAATCCCGACACCTCCCAGGGATAGGCTGAAACTGATCTCCTGACCTTTCACCATTTTATTCCACTGTTTTCTTTGATCCGCTGGGGTATCCGTTTCCAGCCAGCTAAGCACTGGAGGCGGGAAGGGTATTCGGCCTGACGAGTGCAGGGGAACGAGGAGTGCCTCGCGGGTTGCGTGTGACGTCAATAAAAAGCATCGGTCACAGCTTTGTGCTAAATTGATGAAAAACCATTATGCAGGAGTTTAAACTTTAAGCCACATACACAAAAGAGGTTTTATTCTAAGCTAAACTGATTATTAACTTCTCTACTTCCACCAACATTATTTAGAACAAAATAAAGACAAAACCGATCTTGTGAATTTAATTTACACTGCAGGTAACATGCAAAAAAATTTAAACATAAGCTGACAAACTGAAGAATTTTGATGCCTCCTCAACTAGTGAACAACTGTTTTCGTGATAAATGTTTTGTCCAAACGAAAACCACGATTCACTTGATTTAGGTTTAAGTTGAAGTTTCTGCGCCGTACCTCAAACAAACCCCGAGCCACGGGAAAGATCCTCCTGACCACCTGCGAGGCCTGGCTGGGGTCAGACARGAAGGGCCACCAGCAGAGGGCAAAAGTCACCAACACCGCTGTGGCAACTCTCACCAACAGGAACAACCTACATAAAAACAACAACATATTTTAGTGTGAGATTTAAAACCTTGAGAATTAAAAATAAGCAGCTACCGTACACAGACGCAAYTTGGAAATGAGACTTTTTGCCCTAACATCTCTGTTTCTCTGTCAGTTCCTCAAACAGTTAGCACAAACTGTCCGCAAGTCCTAAATTTGGGATTTCACCCCCCCATGCCCCCCCTGCCGAGGAATGCAGTGAAAGCTACGCATCAGCTGAAAGTCTTCAGTGTAGGTCAGAGTATCTTGTCAGCTGCGACTGTGAAGCTGCTGGTTAAGTTGCACACACAGGCATAGCTGAGGAGTTTTGGGGATGGTGAGAGTGTCATCTGGACATATCTTCCCCGCAGGGCCTAATCCTGCTCTCCATTTGCTACTAAATGCCCTTGGTACATTGTTACTAGATAAACAGACACTGGACACACGGGTAACAGCATCCAGTCTGATTACCTCAATCATTCTGTGACTCTTGGGAAAAGACTCATCGCTGACGTTACTAATACGAGCGTCCGACTGACACTTTCATAAGAAACAAAACAAGAAGAAATGCACTCACCTGACGCCGCAGACGTTAATTTAAATTGACTTATTCTTTGAGGTTTTAAGATTTTGGCTTGGTGTGACAAGAAAATTGGCCAAATCATCTTTAMAAAAGGTAAATAACACCAATTACATTTAATTGCATTACTTTAGTTGTTTTTCTACATAACTTTTGCACCATCCAATTGTATGGAGGACCAAAACTGACATAAATAGAAATAAAAGCAGAAATATATAAATGAATAAAAAATTACACTTAAAATGCAGCAATTAAATTAAAAAAGAACTTTACCTCATGTTTTATAATTTTATTGGGCATTATATTTATTTGTCCATCTTAGTTCCAATAAATCATCTCCTCCTATTGGTCAACAGAGAGGAAGGAGCAGGATCCACGTGCAGCTCTACTATGCATGTTTGTGCTGCCTCAGTTTAGCCTAAGGTTTAGTTAAAAACAAAGGCACAGGTAAATGTTTTCCTCCTCACCTTTGTTTTAAACTAAGCTTAAAACTTTAAGCTAAACTGAGGCCGCACAAGCATGGACAGTAGATTAGCACATGGATCCTGCTCCTTCCTCTCTGTTGACCAATAGGAGGAGATGATTTATTGGAACTAAGATG